GGTCGCCCCCCCCCCTTTAATGCGATTCGTTTTCGCGCTCGGCAACTTGGCTCCAGAGGGAGGGGGGCATCGAACGAAAGCAGAAACGTTTAAAATACCTGCTGTGAACACTTACGGGGAAATTTCCATTTCAATTGCGACCGCATTAATATTCATAATCGTGTAAATAAATTACATCGGTTGTGTTGCCGATGTAAACGATTAAGTATTTATTAGGTGTGCTACATTTCACGGTGTATGCTCCCTGCCCGTTGATTATCTCGCTTTCAACCACCTCGAAAATTAAGTGTTATCAACCTGTGTTAATATCTTGCGTTAATCTGTCGTGAAGTTTGGAGGTTTTTTTTTAGGAAAGATTATGCCGTGTAATATAAGTTTTTAAAATATTATTATAATATTGTTTTACTCGTTTTTGGTTTGTTAAATAACGTTGAATATTTTCGTTGAATATCTCGTTTCTTCTTTTTTTATTTTTTTTTTTTTTTTAGGGACAGAATTTATAGTATACCTTTCTCATTAATTGGTCAAATTGATCCTCTCAATGATATATTCTCACAAATTTAATGGGATAAAATTATAAAATTGATTGATTACAAAACAATAATGGAAGACTTCGATCAAGGTTTGATCATTTTTTAAAGTAATTTAAAATAAGTTTAAAGTAATTTCAATCAGATATATTTTATTCATCAGGTATTTTAATTTTGATCATATTTTGAGAAATTTAATTCTGCAAATTTTGATAATAAAGACAGGACAAAATGTGAGTATTGTTCGAACAATAGTAGTAGAATAATGCATTAAGAAACGGCCTCTTAACGAGCGTAAACTATCGCGGAGAGTGTGTTAATCCGGAAATTATTACGCGTAATTTTATATACTCGTTACACACGTGATATTGTACCAGTTTATTACCACTTTGAAACGCAGAAAAATGATATTAGGAAGAAAGAATCTACTTTAAGAATAAATAATATTGTTTTATTTAATAATATAACGAATGTATGTTTTTATTTTAAAATTCGAAATTTTATTATATACATCGAGTATATAAAATGAAAGATTCGTATGTAAATCGTAAGGTTTTTGGAATATTTTATAGAGAAGTACTAAAGGATACACGTTACATAAAATGTTTGACTCATCTATATTGCGTATTCTTTTAATATATCTACGAATATAAATAACGACATAAGAGATAAAATTTTTCAAATGCAATATACAAATATTTGAACGTAGAAATATATAAAATATAAAAATCTATGTGTAGAATCTTTCTATTTTCTTAGGCAATAAATATTCCTTTTCGTTTAAAATAAAAAAAAAAGAAAAAGATACATCGGACAAGCTAGTAAAATTATCCTAGTTTCTTTTGAGAGGTCGCCCTGTTTACGCGCGCTTTTCAAATCGTGTTCAACGCATATCACGTGGCGTTCGATCTCAATCTCTTTTTCTTCCCTCGTAATCAATAGATTCTTCTTTTTTCTTTTCTTTTCAATTTTCTTTTTAACGATGTTTCCTTCCTTTTATCTTTCCTTTTTCCCCCCGTTTAGTTTACACGGGGAAAAGAGAATTGTATTCGTTAATTAGCCTTCTTATTCTCATGTGAACGAGAAAAACAGGGGATGAATAGAAATATCGGGGCGTTTCTTTTTTTCCTCTCTCTCTCCTCTCTTTTTTCTTCTTTTCTCTTCTTTCCTCCCGGTTTCCTGAAAAGTTCCGTTCGGTCTGTTTCGCGTTAGAGTCAACAGGTTCGAAGTTGTTTTTTAAGTGTGGCGGAGAAAATGTTTTCGGGAGAATAATGCAGAATAATACGAACATACTGTAACAGGAAGCAAGATCCCAGTCTTGTTTTCGTATCTTTCACATATACGCTCCAAGGGTTGACCTATTTCAATTTATGCGAGAACTTGGTGTTTTCGGCAAAAGTGAACTTAGTTGCGAAAGATTGACTATGGTTAAAGAGGAAGTTCTCGAAATCTCGTTTGTTTACCTGCTTTCTGGATCCTATATAATTTATGACTTTCGATCATTTGAATCGTACAATTGAATATTACTAATTTTATTAATTGAATTAATAATTTCTAAAACACATAGTGATGACGAACAAAGTTTTACAAGTAAATCTTTCAAATCAATAAAAATTTATTTACTTGTTTAAAAAAAAGAAGCTTGCAAATATTTAACAAGAATTAATAAGATTATATAAAATATAAATATTTATGCAATTAAAATTTCGTAATCTACGATGTTCATTTATTAACATTATCAGTAAATTATTATGCGAGAGAATTAATTATTATATTGTTGTTATACAATAAATGAAGTAAAATCATTTAAATAATCGATACTTAATATCATCGCCATTTAACTTGAATTTTTTCCTCAATCTTTTAGTTTAAGGACGACAGTGACGTGCAGATAACAGAAAAGTTTATGATTTTGCTCTTGTTAGGAATACGATAGGGGAATTATGTATTTTGAGGGAAGCTTCGCTCACATATATACATGTACATATTTCCAGCCACCCAACTTCCTCGTTAATATTCTGACGCTCCCCTAGACCTTTAACCCCCATGTATCCACTTCTTCGACGACTTCGATAGAATCTGTAATATATTCGAAGACTACCGCTTATACGGTGACCTTTAGAAAATCACCCGAACATATGTCGAACTGGAGGCAGCCAGAGAAATAATAAATTCGATTCTTATACGCGGCGATATTACACAACAATGTATCATGCGGATTATATCAGTAGGCGGAAATCGATCGCCAATTGAGAAATTTCGAAGAGTATTGCAGTGGGTGACAATTAAAAATAGGTCACCCGGTACAGTCGAAGAAAAATTCGAATCGTGAAAGATAACGAAATTCGCGGTGTGTTACTTTCGATTCCTGATACCAGCTGACTCCCACAGCAATAAATATTGATCTTATTACGATGATATTGCAATAAAAAATTATGATTAACCAACAATGAGTTAAAAATATTCCACAACTATTAGAATAATTGTAAGTAAGTAAGTACTTTCGAGACTCTGATAATAAATTCTAGAAACACGTGGAACACGTTGTTTGAACCGATGTTACATATTATTTTACGTGTTTCAGGTTTCTAATCGACGGAGGGAGGGATCCAGAGGGACGACTAGCAGTAGCGGAAAGAGAAAATAGCGGATAGTGGCATGATAGGGACAAGGCACCACCCTCTGCGAGGGCGCATCCTGCTGGCCCTCTTTTTTCTACTCGGCACGCTTGCCTTGCTCTCGAAAGCGGCTGCATTCCCAGACTGGACCGATTGTCCAGCTGTGTGCCGTTGCAAGTGGACGTCCGGGAAGAAATCCGCCTTATGCCCTGACGCCGGCCTAACCTCGCTCCCGGCCTCGCTGGACCCTGACATGCAGGTGCTTGACCTGTCCGGGAACAAGATTCCCGGGTTACAGTCGGAAATCTTCAAGCGTTCCGGCCTGCTGAATCTGCAGAGGGTCTTCTTGAGGAACGCCGGCATTTACAAGATCCACCCTGACTCGTTCAGGGACATGAGGATATTGGTGGAGATCGACCTGTCCGACAATCACGTGGAGATGCTCGAGCCAGACACATTTCTGGGCAACGAAAGACTGAGGATCTTAATTTTGAGCGGGAACCCATTGACGCGGCTGAGAAGCCACCAGTTCCCCCTACTCCAACACTTAAGAAACTTGGAGTTGCAGAGGTGTTCCCTGTCCGAGATCCACGGGGAAGCGTTCGTCTATCTGACCGGTTTGGAGTCGTTGAGGTTAGACCAGAACGTTCTCGAGTATCTGGATGTGTCGGTGATATCGAATCTGCCACGATTGAAAACTCTGACGTTGGACGGGAACCGGTGGAGCTGCGACTGCAGGCTCAGAGACTTTCGAACTTGGCTGATCCCCAACGGACCCAGCAAGTTGTATTCCGTGCCTCAAGCGTGTTCGTCGCCGATGAGACTGGAAGGTCGTAAGTGGGAGGACGTGAAACCTGTCGAGTTCGCCTGCGAGCCAGAGGTGTTCGTTCTGGCGAGCAGCATTCAGGAGGAGACGAACGGGAACCTGAGCCTGGCCTGTTTGGCCACCGGCGATCCAGAGCCCGAGGTTTGGTGGCAATTGAACGGAGGCCCGGTGAACGCCTCCAAGTTGACCGAGCAAATTTACTCG